CCCCAAAACCCCAAAACCCCAAAACCCCAAACCGGTTTATAATACCTGAAATTATAAATATGAAAAATATGGTGAAGGAAGAAACCGATGCTCAGCTGGGTAAGACCAAGAAGATAGTCAACAGTTGTTAGTGAGAGGGAGATATTGGGTTTTAGTAGATTGGGTTTAGTTGAACTGGAGAGATTTTAATACTGAGCGTGGAGAGGGATGAGGGATGGGGGATTTTGGGGAGGATGTGGGGAAATTTGGAGTTTTTGGTGTTGAGATGGGGTGGTAGTTTTAGATAGAGGAAAAATAGGTATTTGGGGTGTTTTGGAAAATTTTGGTAGAAGATATTGAAGTGGTTTTGATTTAAGCCATCGATTTTATTTTATGATTTTCATATTTTGTATGCATTGTAGTTGAATAGCAATGTTGTTGATTTTTACAGATTTTAACACTGGGAGAAGATTTTTGAGCATTTTAACAGCATCAAAGGAGATATTTTTCGAAAGATTTCTATTATTTATCAAAATTATTCCTGGTTACTATTAGTTCTCACAATAATTAAACTTTTCTTATGCATTCATTTTAATTTGCTATTTTCCACTCTTCCTGGAAATTTTTTAAATGAATTTTTCATAAGATTTAAAAAATATTTCTTACATCAATTTTTACTTTTCAGACATCTAGCAATCATAAGAGATTGCTTTTATAATAATATTTTCAACCATCTTAAAACCCATTTTGTGTTAATTTCTTTTTTTAGGGAGGGATACAGAAGCCTCTTCTGGATGATTCATAGCAAAAAATAGATGACTGGCCTACTGGTTAAAAAGGCTAATGGAATTTTGCAACTACCTCTCAGGATACAGCGAAGAGGTGGATACTTACATTAGTCAAGTCATTGAAGAGAGTATAGAGAAAAAGTATAATAAATACATTAGAATAGTTTGATGGCTCAACATTGTACTTTGCACTTTAACAGTTATTCTGAGCTATCCAGGTAAGAATTGATGGTAATTTCTATAGACTTATCAGATATCAATCAGGAGACTAAGTGGCAGACGTGCTTTAACTGCATTGTATTTTGATTGATAATGGCTGCTGCATTGGTTACATTAAGAGTCAAGCCAATTTATGTTTGCTATTTCGTTCCCATTATGATTGGAATATGTATTTACTTAGTCACTCAGATAACTATACAGAAGAGTTATTACAGACTCAGCGAATATCACATTTGAATTGGAGCAATGTGACACACTTTAATGATCCTAGTACCTACTCAGTGGAAGCCAAGCTTAGTGATTCATAATTTATGTATGGTTCACCTTGCATACTCCATTTGGAAAACTTATAACTTTATGAATGCTGATGTTATATCGAGTACGGTCTTCTCTTGCCTCTGGTATACTATCTCAAGTTATTTGTTGATCATTAAGACAAGAAATATGTACTCAGAAATCTTGAAGAACAAGAGACTTATCAACGAAATGAAGAAAGTAATGCAATTTCTTCCTTTTGGTGTAGTTATATGGCCTTCTAAAGAGAATGAAAAGTGGTTTGCGAATAAAGAGTTTACAAATAAGTTTACAAAAATCAGAAAAGATCTTGATGAACTTAAAGATATTGATATTTCCTTCTTGTCCAACAGTGAGGAAAATAAAGACTGCTGAAGCATCCAAAATAATTTGGAGGGTCTTCTCAAGGCTCATCAGAAATTGCTCGATGGAAAAGATTCAATGACTGAACAAGATATTAAGATTCACTGTCACTCTCAAGGAAACATTTTTCTTCAAGATTCCAATCAAAATGAGAATGAGAGAATTTGAAATATAAAGACTTTAATGGTCGAGTGGGAAGGAGAGAGCTCATACATGCATGTCTTCATTGACAACACTGATTTGATCAAGTTAGAAGAGGCAAAGAATAACATCAAATGTCAGAAGATCATGTTTACATCAGCATCTCATGAATTTAGAACTCCTCTGAATTCAATCATTAACTCTTTTGATATCATTCGAAACTCTTTTTAATGAACTTAATGATATATCTGGGCCTTATTTCAGACAGCTTAGAGGCAGAGAGAAGGAAGACTTAGATATAAGTACAGAAATGATTGATAAGTTCATTAAAATTGGAAAAAATTCATCGTTGTTGTTACTTACACTTATTGAAGATATACTAAATCTATCCAAAATAGAAGCTGGTACTTTTATGATCAGCAAAGAAGTTTTCAAAATTTCTGACATCCTTAACGAGATCTATAATATCTTCAGCATGCAATGCGAACAAAAGAATATCAAGCTCATTGTAAAAACTACTGGTGATGTAAGACACTTGAACATCTTTTCAGATAAGTCTAGAGTAAAACAGATATTAATGAACTTGATGTCTAATAGTATGAAATTTACCTTCAAGGGCTCTATCACCATAGAGTGAAGGACTACAAAACATAGTGGAAAAGAGTTTGTCAAGATAAGTGTGGTAGACACTGGAGTTGGTATAAAGAAAAAGGACCAAGCCAAACTTTTCAAACTCTTTGGAATGCTTTCTTCAACCAAAGATATTAACAAAAATGGCACTGGTATTGGACTCACAATTAGTAAAAAGTATGTTAAAGCAATCGGAGGCAATATTCACTTAAAATCAGCTCCTAAAATTGGAACAGATGTTACTTTCACAGTACCAATAGACAGAATCTCAGAATCAGAGAATAATCCCAAATCTAACCGGTCGATATGGTAAGTTTGCACTCAAGAACATATTACTTTTTTTTACCCTGCTAAATTCCATTCCTAAATACAATTCTAACACTCTTTAAAGGAGCTTCTTTGAAAATGAAATTGAAATTGAAGAGGAAGGCATTATTAACCAGAACTTATTCTTCGATCATGATATTGGATCAAGAGGATGATTTACGAGAAGATAGGTTTCTGAGATATGTTCAGATGCCTGTAGAGATAAACTAAATTTTATCTTAATAATACCATCTCATCTTTTATTATAAACTCATATTTTCACAATCTGGGTTTTAAATATCGGGGTTTTGGGGTTTTGGGGTTTTGGGGTTTTGGGGTTTTGGGGTTTTGGGG